GGAGGTGCCATAGTGAGGTGGGAAGCGTGGGTGTTTTGGACTCAGAGCTGGGTTAAAAAATCTGGCTCTCCCACTTATTTGTTGGGCCCTCCTGAGCTAAATGGAGATAACAAGATACAGGTTCACAAGGTTTAAAAATCAGATCCAGTGGGGCACCTGGCTGACTCATTTGGTAGAGTAGGTAATGCTTGATCTCAGGGTCATGAGTTCAAGGCCATATTGGACCTGCAGCCTACTGGGAAAAAAAAAAAAAAATCAGAGCCTGTGTACAAAGCCACCTGTGCTTGGGTAGACCTGAGCATAAGGCTCCTTTCTTGCCCAGCTATCTCTCTCCCCACCCTACAACCTTATTATACCAGAGAAAGCCAAACGCCTAAAGAAATGAGTGCTGGGGGCACCTGGGTGGCTCAGTGGTTAAGCCTCTGCCTTCAGCTCAGGTCATGATCTCAGGGTCCTGGGATCAAGTCCCACACCGGGCTCTCTGCTCTGCAGGGAGCCTGCTTCCTCCTCTCTCTCTCTCTCTGCTTGCCTCTCTGCCCACTTGTGATCTCTCTCTGTCAAATAAATAAAATCTTTAAAAAAAAAAAAATGAGTGCTGTCCTTAGGATGGAGACTCATCCTGCAGACAGAGCATGAAAGCTTCCATTTTTTCCCTGGTTGATGCCACAAGCACACACATCCACATCTCGCATTCCACACACACACACCTCCCCCTCTTGACATTATAGCAAGACGGAGAGAGAGAGGGAGAGAGAAAAAGAGAGAGAGGCTGTTACCCAAGGGAGCTGTTTCTTCTTGTCGCACAAGAACAGATGCCCAAATCCTAGGACAGCACAGAAATGTGGCAGCAGGAGAGTGAGTCAGAGGAAACAGAATGGTTTCACCTCCAAGATCTACCAGGGCCCAGAGGGGCCCTCCCGGAGCCTCACAGGGGCAGGGACCCATGTACAGTTTTCAGAACCAATTCAAGGCCCAGCTACTCCGCAGACCCCAACCGGCTGGAGATGCAAGCAGCCCCTCACCCCTACCCCTCACCCCCATGCACCCACCCCCAAGGGAGCAGAGGGCAAGGAAGCATGAGGCTGCATTCTTTCTGAACACAGCTTTGGCTTCCTCCTTCCAGGGAGCCTTCTCATCTGAGGCACTTGCACACTTCTTAGTAAGTAAGTAAGCCAGGCTTACGCTGTGACATCCTCTTGGGACAGTCCTGTGGAGAAGATGCTGTCCTGTCACTGCGATCACTGAGCCGATATTTTTACGTAGAACCCCATTAAAGGGGCACCCTGGGCTGGGGGCCCAGAGAAGAGAATGAGTCCTGAGCTCTCTGCTGAGGGACTGTAGAGGAGGAACCATCCCCAGGGAGAATCTCTTTCTGGAAAAGTTACCTTGAGGTGTCTGAATTTACTTTTTCGCCACAGCATGTAAAGAGATCCCAGTGATTAGAACTGCAGCGACAACCACGGTGGGAGAGGTGGTAGTGGGGAGGATTTTGTGGTTCCTGTGCTTCCTTCCAGGGCCTTCTCTTTCATCCCAGCCCCCACACCCCAATCCAGTGGCTTCTCATCCACCCTCCTATAACCAGCTCCCCCACCCTCCTCCCCTGTGAAGCCACGCGGGTTCCCCAAGTCCCCTGTCCACACAGGTCTTCCTCCCTCCCTTCTTCTGCAAGCTGACCCTCTCCCACTGTGGGTACCATAGGCCAAACAGAGTCCAGGAAATGCTCCCTGGAGGCTTTTTGATCTGTCCTTGTAAATATGAGCTAAAAGTGAATTAGCTGACAAAAATATTAAGGCATCGAAATAATCAAATCAGTATTTTTTATTACATACCAAGCCAGCATGACCGTTGACAGAACTTCTGATGATCAGAATCCAAACAAATAAAATACGGCCTCTTTCCCCTCCATTGCACCAAATCGTGTCGATCCGTGTTCACTGGTAAAACGCTGACAGCCTGCAAGGAAGATTCAGATGTGTCCCTAAATCATCACAGAAAGAGTTTAGGCAGATGATTTCCTCAGCTGCTTGTGTGGCTCGCTCCCTGCCTCTTTCGACTTTGTTCAAATGTCACCTTCCTGAAGCCTTTCCAAACGACCCTAACAAAAATGGCATTCTGCTCTGCGTTCCCTAACCCCTCACATTCCTAATATTTTTCCTTCATAGCATTTATCACCAACTCACACAATACCCATCTTATGTATTTGTGGCTTATTTGCACAGAAATGCGTGCGCACGCGCCAAAACACTTGAATATAAGTTCCATGAAAGCAAAGATTTGATTTTGTCTACTATTGTATTCCTGTGAATTGGAAAGTAAGCATTCAATAAATATTTGTATAACAGATAGTTTCATTCACAAACACGTTTTTATTATTCTTTGTTTAAAATAGGTATTCTGGGGATGCCTGGGTGGCTCAGTCGTTAAGCGTCTGCTTTCAGCTCAGGTCATGATCCCAGGATCGTGGGATCGAGTCCCACATCGGGCTCCTTGCTCAGTGGGGAGCCTGCTTCTCTGCCTGCCATTCCCCGTTTGTGCGCTCTCTCTCCCTCACAAGCAAATAAATAAAATCTTAAAAAAAAAAAAATAGAAGTAGGGGGGCGCCTGGGTGACGCAGTGGGTTAAGCCTCTGCCTTCGGCTCAGGTTGTGATCCCCGGGTCCTGAGATTGAGTCCCGCATCAGGCTCTCTGCTCGGCGGGGAGCCTGCTTCCTCCTCTCTCTGCCTGCCTCTCTGCCTACTTGGAATCTCTGTTTGTCAAATAAATAAATAAAATATTTTTTAAAAAATAAAATAAAAATAGGGAGCCTGGGTGGCTCAGTGGGTTAAAACCTCTGCCTTCAGCTCAGGTCATGATCTCAGGGTCCTGGGCTCCAGCCCTGAATCGGGCTCTCTGCTCACCAGGGGGCCTGCTCTCCCCCCACCTCTCTATGCCTGCCTCTCTGCCTACTTGTGATCTCTGTCAAATAAATTAAAAAAAAAGTCATAAAAAAGTAAAACATAAAATAAAATAAAATAAAATAAAATAAAATAGGTATTCTGTGACTATATACAATTCATTTACTTATTCACTTCACAAATGCTTTTGAAGTTCCGATCACTCGTCAGGCCCTGTCCAGGGCACCCAGGATTCCCTGGGGAGCAAGACAGACACATGATCTCTGTTCTCCTCTGACTCAGAGACTGGTGGGGAGAAGGACTGTACACATTTGTGCATCAATAACTCAGTAAAGATGATATTTCGATATTGAGAAAGGTACAAGGTAAGAAATAAGTAGAGGGGGGGCGCCTGGGTGGTTCAGTGGGTTAAAGCCTCTGCCTTCAGCTCAGGTCATGATCTCAGGGTCCTGGGATCAAGCCCCGCATCAGGCTCTCTGCTCAGCAGGGAGCCTGCTTCCTCCTCTCTCTCTCTGCCTGCCTCTCTGCCTACTTGAGATCTCTGTCAAATAAATAAATAAATTCTTTAAAAAAAAAAAAAGAAAGAAAGAAGTAAAGAGCTGAGACAAAGAATGTGACAGGAGAGACTTATTGAGTTAGGTCGGGTGGGGATGAAGTTGACCCTGGAAGAGCCAGAAGACCTTCGTCAGCAGTGGAAGAGCCCCCTCAGCAGTCACGTGGACGAGTGAGTGCAGTACAGGCCTTGAGGAGGAGAAGGAAAGAGCCATATTGAGCCTAAAATGGGCTCCCCTCCCCCATTCAACTACAGTCTTTATTAACTATATCATCCTTTTTTTAAAAAAAGATTTTATTTATTTGACAGAGATCACAAGTGGGCGAAGAGGCAGGAGGAGAGAGGAGGAAGCAGGCTCCCTGCTGAGCAGAGAGCAGGATGCCCATCCGGGGCTCCATCCCAGGACCCTGGGATCACGATCTGAGCTGAAGGCAGAGGCTTTAACCCACTGAGCCACCCAGGTGCCCTGAGCTGTACCATCCTGATATGGTCACACAAACTCTGAATCTCCCCACCCCTTAAAATGTGGGTGATGGTACCTACCTAATGGCTCTAACAGTTTAAATGCAAAATACACTCCTGGTGTTGTTATGGGCAAACAGATAAGTCCCGGTTCACTTGGTACCTTCCCAGTTAGAATCTCCCACTGGCCTTAGGAAGTCTCCTAAAATGAGAGATACCTGGGTGGCTCAGTCCTTAAGTGTCTGCCTTAGGCTCAGGTCATGATCCCAGAGTCCAGAGATCTAGCCCCACATTGGGCTCCGTACTTCTCCCTCTCCCCCTCCCTTGGTGTTCCCTCTCTGGCTGTCTCTCTCTGTCAAATAAATAAATAAAATAATTTTTAAAAATGCGGGGGTCTCCTGAAGTGGAAGTTTGGACTCGGGTAGACTTCGACCAAAGAAGCCATGAGGCCTTTGTGCTGCTGGGCATCTGCCCTGTCCCAGATTGTCCTCTCTGTGTCTTGGGAGATTCTGGGGAGCTGTCTCTGAGTCATGGCTCGCTTCCTGAGCAGGGGAGGAACTTTTCTGCCCAGAGGGGTCTCCCCAGAACTGTTCTTGTCTGCTCTCACTCCCAAAACCTGTCTCTGAGACCCGAGGGATGGCGAGAGATATTTAGTCCCCGAGGAATCTACCCAGGAGTCAAGAGGCAAAACTGGGCTTGGCGTGCGGTCCCTACTGGCCCCAGGACAGCCTGCGGACCCCGCAGCAAACCAAACGCCCCGGGGGGAGGCGGCAGGGGAAAGCAGGGCCGGTCCCGGGACAGCGCGAGGATTCGGAGAGCTCGGGACTCGGTGGACCCGTGGAGAAGGAGAGAGGGGAAGGAGCAGAGGGGGAAGGAGAGCCGGGGCGCAGGGCGGAGTGGGCGGGAAGCGAGGGCGGGGAGGGCGAGAGGCAGGAAGGGGCCACCGGGAGAAGGGAAGACACGCACGGCTGGGCGGGGGTGGAGGGGGGGACGCGAGGCCTGCGGCCGCGGGCACCGCACGGGCGGCGGCCTCCGGGGGGCGGCCCCGCGGGGAGGGCGGGCCGGCCGGGCGGGCGGAGGCGGGGCGGCGGGCGGCGCTGTCAGCGCGAGGCGGCTGGCGGAATGCAGCGGCCGGAGGCCTGGCCACGTCCGCACCCGGGGGAGGGGGCCGCGGCGGCCCAGGCCGGGGGCCCGGCGCCGCCCGCCCGAGCCGGGGAGCCGGCGGGGCTGCGGGTACGGAGCGGGCGGGCGCCGGGGTCCCGGGCGGCGGGCGCCGGGCTGCGGGAGCGGAGGGGTGGGGGTGGGGGGCGGGCCGCCAACTCACGACTCGCGCGCCCGCGCCCGGGAACTTGGGGCCCTCGCCGACCGCCCGGGGAGGGAGCCCGGGGCCAGGGTAGGGGAGAAAAAGTTCTCCCGGCGCGGACCCGCGAGGAGGCCGGGCCCGAGTGCGCGTGGGACTGAAGTTCTGGATCAGTTCGAAGCGGTGATGGGCACGGCTCGGGCGGGGGGGTGGGGGTGGACCGGGGTTCCGCTGGTAGGGGTGAGGAGTGGCGGGGCCGCCCGGGACTCGAGCTCCCAGGGGAAGGTGGGCTGACGTGCGGGGCTTCTGGAGCACCCCCTCCCTGGGGCCAGGGGGCTGGGGGCGCGCTGAGAGCGCGGGTCCAGCTTCGGCCCGGGGTCCGCTGGAAGGAGGAGGCTCAGCGCCGCTGTCCCCCCGGCCCAGGTTCTGTGATACACTCCGACTCGGGCTCTGGAGCAGTCAGTGCATGACAGAACTTGGGCCCGGACGGACCTTCAGCACCCAATGGGCACAGCGCCCACCCGGGGCCTGCAGTGCAACATCTGCCTCGGAGTGGAGCAGGCACTGGAGTTGGCCGGCACAGCACAGGGTTGGGCCAGAACCAGCTGTGGACCTTTGGGGTCGCTGGACCCTGAGGATGACCTCCTGGGGCCAGCAGATGCCATAGAGCCAATGGCAGGGTGTCTGCCTTTAGTCAGGAGCCAACGGAGCTCTCCCCTGGTGTCAGTTGCAGGAACCTTCCCTCTACACCATCAAGGCTGTTTTCATCCTAGATAATGACGGACACCGCCTCCTGGCCAAGGTAAGCTCCCACCCTTACCGGAAAGCCCCTGAGGACACTGCTACAGTCCCAAGAACAGAAGTCCCCACCCAGCTGACTCTCCTGTCTCAGGAGAGACCCCACTGTGGGCTCTGTAACTCAGAGCAACTCAGCTTAGACCTCTCTAAAGGTCATTCTGTCCTTCCTCCTGCCTTGTCCCACGGCTGGCCCCTGGCAAGAGGATTGTAGCCCCTCTGTTTCTACTCACATTCCCAGAAATGTCTTCTCATCAGTCTTTCCACTGCCCCGGATCTTGGGCCCAGAAGGGACCTCCTGAGGGGTCAGGGGAGTGTCAGGCCTGGGACCCTGGAGCCTTAGTCCCCACATTCTATATAAGCAACCTGCACTTCTCTTCTACGGTTTGGAAACCACTCAGGATTTAGTCTGAGGAGTCTGAGAATTTAGAACCAGACAAGATCTTAGAGACTATATGATCCAACTGTCTCCTTTCACAAATGAAGGAAATGTGGTATAGAGAAGCTAGCTGAGTTGCCTGAGGCCACAAGTGTTACTATCAAAACACGGATCTGAACTCAGGTAAGTCCACTTGAAGCTCAGGAGGGTGATTTTCACTGTACCAACTCTTCAGGTGTCTGGTGTCTGTCCCACATGGCCTGGGTAAACCAGACTAGAATAATCAGAAAGAAATGGCTATCGCCGACACAATTAACTACAGTAGGACTCTGGCATCTAAACAAGCTATGAAATGCATTCTAGGCTTGTTGTTTTTTTGGGGACTGAAACTTTTTGTCTTGCTGATATCCAAATGAGCTTGTTCACACAGCAGCGGTCCCACAGGGAGGCCACTGATTTGCCTGCAGATGGGGTACTGAGTGGCAAAACCCACATCCAGAAAATTGGAAGCTGGGCCCGTCACACTCTCCTCCAGCAGATAACAGACGGAGATCAGCCATGCCCAAGGCTCCAGGGCTTCCGCCCAGCAGGACCCACCCATGTTCAGTTGAAGATACTGAGTCAGAGAAAGAGGCTCACCAACCCAAAAGCATCCCTAGTTAGGCGGTGTGAGCCTGGAACTTTCCCTTAGCCATATAGTCTTCATCACCACAACCCTGTCTGAGGTCAGACCATCCTTGGCTGTGCCCCTTACAACTGTGAGAAGTCGGGGAAGTTATCTGACTTCTTCACGCCTCCTAATCCTCATCAGTACAATGGGGATAATAGGAGGAAGAGATCATCAGTATTATGCGGATAAAAGGAGCCGCTGTTGTTGTTACTGCCCCTGGCTCTGCCCTCTTTCCTGTAGACTTGGGTTCCTGTAGCAAGGGTGACCCACTGAGCACCCTCGTCCTTAGCTCATGGACATCTGCCAAATGTACAAAAACCACCAGGAAATCAGGAGAGGACTCCAAAAGCAGGAATTAAAATTCCTCGGCTTTTGATGACTTTCTTCGCTTAAAATGTGTGTTTATGGGGAAAGAGTGAGCACACAGGCCTAAAGGGCAACAAGCAGGGGACAGGTCTGTGCTTGCCCCAGCGCTTCCCACCCAGGGAGGAGCCAGGTTCTGTGGAAAAGCGATCACCCCTTCTTCCCTTTCTCATAGTATTATGATGATACATTCCCCTCCTTGAAGGAGCAGATGGCCTTCGAGAAAAATGTCTTCAACAAGACCAGCCGGACTGACAGTAAGTGTCCGCCTCTTCCTTGTCCAGAATTCTCCAATGCACATCGCCATCCTCCCCATCTGGACACATATGTCCCTGTTGGCCACTCATACCCACAAGCCATCCCCTTTTCTTCCTCTCCCTCCCACCTCTTCTCTCCCTTCCTCTGGGAAGCCTTCACTCTCCATCCCTCTCTCACCCCCTGTCCCACCCCCCAAACATACCTAGACCTCTCTCTCATCCGAAGAGGCCAACTGCATTACTGCATTGTGTGTCCCCCACCAGCCTGGACAAGGAATTGCACATGGTGGGAGGGGGACCAAAGGTTGACCCTGCACAGGATTTGTTGGCTTCTCCGAATGAGACAGTCACTAGACACAGAGTAGTCTAATGGGGGTGTCTCTAGTGCTAGTTTTTTCAAGGGTTCCTTGCAAAGTGAAGAAGGAAAAGGAGGGAGAGAAGCAGAGCTGGAGATCAGGAGGAGGGGCCCGGCAGAGGGGGCCAGGCCTGAAAGCCCCTTCCATTTCTAGGTGAGATTGCATTTTTCGGGGGCATGACCATTGTCTACAAGAACAGCATTGATCTCTTCCTGTATGTGGTGGGCTCCTCCCACGAGAATGAGGTGAATTCAGGAGGTCGGGGTGACAAAGAGGGTCTGCCCGTAGCTTGGATTCTGGGGTAGAATCTGGGTTATCATGGGTACCCCTCTTTCTAGGCTCTGGGGGCTGGGGAGCAGCCAGAATGATTCTTTGTGGGATGGGACATATCCATGATGTCTCTTAGGTTCCTTGGGGACCAGAAATGAAGTCCTGGGCAGAGCCTTGGTTTCTTCCTTGTATATCACCAGGGAAGGATACAATCAATGTCCCACAGTGGGACACCCCGGTGCTTCTCAGCCCATGCATAGGGAGGCATCCTGGGGTCAAGCTTCAGTCAGTCTCCAGCCCTGTTCTCTTTGAAAAGGGTTGACTGCCCACACAGGTAGGCGTCAAATGCTCCTTTGGGCCTTCTCAACCTCAAGTTCTCTTTTCCTCCTCCCCTATCCACCCACGCTCAGCTGATGCTCATGTCCGTTCTCACCTGCCTGTTTGAGTCCCTGAGCCACGTGTTAAGGTGAGTGAGGTCCTCTGCCCTCCAAGGCCCCCCGCCCCCGCAGGCCTTGATACGTCACAGATGCAGGACCCTTCCTCAGTTTCCCTCTCTGAAGTCCCCAAAAGACTAAGACTGGAGCCAGAGCTGCCTCTTCCAAGGCCCCTGCCCTTTACTGGACCACCGTGGCTCAGAGCAGAGCCACACGAGGGTGCGGCCCAAAAATGAGGTCCAGAGAAGTTAGGCGACCTGCCTGGAGTCACAGTCTGTTTGTATCATGACCGAGACTCAAACTCAGAGCTTTTTGGACTTGACGCTCAGCATGGTTTTCACTGCAGCCCCATTCAGTTACCTGGTATCTGTCCCAGTGAACATGGTCTGGCTAAACCAAACCAGGATAAACCAAAAATAAATGTCTACAGTTGAGACAATTAGCTATAGTTCAGCTGTGGCAGCTAACCTAGCTATGAAATGCGTTAGGGCTCACTTGGCGGGTGCAGTGTCAGTGTGGGAGTGTGGGAGGTTGGGCAAAGCGGGGACGCGCGAGCTCGGGAATCCCTTGCATAGGCACCGCCCTCACTGCCCTTGACATTCTCCTTCCCAGGTGATTGTTGGAGGTGGGGGAGGGGGATGGGTGGAGAGAGGTGGGTCTGCCTCGCCTGGGCAGAAACCCAGCTCCTCCTGGCCGCGGAGAGGTCCAGGAGCTGTGTCTGCCTTCAGGAAGAACGTGGAGAAGCGCTGGTTGCTGGAGAACATGGATGGGGCCTTCTTGGTGCTGGACGAGATTGTGGATGGCGGGTGAGGAGCCGGCGGGGAGAAGAGGGGCGGCTCAGGGACACTCACAGCGGGAGGTGCCTTTGAGGGTCATCAGCTCTAGATGGTACCAAGCACATTGTTGGCTCTCTGGCCAACCCCTCCCGCCTTTCCCCCACCCCGCTCATGAGGATGGAGGCTGATTTCAGCATAAGCCAAAGTCAAGCAAACCAGAAAGTAATCTCAGGTCAAAGGATGGCCAGTGGTTGAACAGGCAGGGTTTGGGGGAATGATTTGATCTCCGGTGCCCAGGAGGAAGGGGCAGCACAGGCCCCTGCCCCTTCCTGGGAGATCTCCATTCAGCTCCCTACTACCTACCTGCACACACACACACACACACACACACACCTCTTAGAGCTCCATCCCTACTTAGATCAGCCAGATGCATGACCTTTCCTTATCTTTCCAGTGGGGTTAAGGGGACAACCTCAGCAGGTGTGGGGATGAAATGAGGCAAGGCAGGTGAAGCTCACCCCTCTTGTCCAGTGATTCAAGTGACCTGTCTAAGGTCTCGGCTGCCAGGGGGCCAAGATCGAACGCCAGGTGCGTGGTTCCAGAAATTGTGCTCTTCCCATGACACTGTGCACTCTGGGAGATGGCGCACCACGTACTCCTTCCCTCGTCCCTCTCTCCTCCCTCTCTTCTCTCTCCCTCCCTCCCCCCTCCCTCCTCCTTCCCACCCCCACTGCCTGTTGTGGCAAGGCCTTGTGCTAACTTCCTGAACCCCAAAGCCAGTGAGGTAAGACCAGCCTTGGCGGGACCCGAAGCATATACAATTTTGTGGAACCTCTTTAAGGAATGCGTGCGTACACACACACACACACACACCCCTTGGAAGAGCCTGTGCAAGGGCAGATGTAAGCTTTATGTGCCTCCAGGTCTCTGCCCCCAGAGGAGCTCAGTTTCCCTCTAAGGAAAATGGTGGCAGTGTCGGTTGAGACAGTGCCTGGACGGGAGCCCTGGCTTGGGATGTTCCTGTCTTTATGGACAATAGGCTCTTTGGTGAAGGGGTGCCAGGTGCCCCAGTGATGGAGCCTGAAAGAGAGACCTGGTCACTCCCCTGGGACTGGCATGAAAGCAAAACTTGGCATCTGCCCTAGAGGAGCCTCCTGGGGTGAAGAGGACCATCCAGTCAATCGCCCACCCCGGTCCCACCTGCAGTGACCAGCCCTCACACCCGCACCCCTGCTCATACCCACAGACGCTCCCCTGCGCCCCCACTGTATGGCGAAAGACCGCGGGATAGCCAAAAATAGCCTTGATCCTTGGGTCTATCAAAAGGGGAGATAGATTCTGATTTTAAGTGTCCTCTTCTCCTGTGCGGCGTGACCCTGTGGCATAGAATACTAGTGAAACCGGATGGGATCCCCACGGGCCCTCCCTTCCTTCGCCGCATCAGCATCCATCCCCAGATCCAGAAGGTGAAGGGCACTTTCAAGAACTCAGAGCGTTTCAGTCTCTGCTTTTGACACTCTGATCATTCTAGACTGGACTAACTCCACCCCATTTCAAAGCTTTTGACCAAGGACACCCCATTTCAAAGCTTTGTGACCATCGGGTTTGAGGCATAGAGGGATCAAAGCTGAGGAATGTCGGTGGGAAGGTACCTGGAAAGGGCAGCTGCAGGAGAGTAAGGGAGGGAAGGGGGCCCAGCAGGGAGAGGCCACAGAGTGGGGAGTCATGTCATTGATTGTCCTCCTGGTTTCTGTCTCATCTTGTAGCGTGATTCTGGAGAGCGACCCCCAGCAAGTGATCCAGAAAGTGAATTTTCGGGTAAGAGTCTTCCGGCAGGTCCCTGACTCCAGTGTCGCTGGGCTGCCCTTTCCACCCTCCCTGCCTCCTGTCCTCCCTGTGCAGGCGATGCCAGGGCCAGGAGACTAGGAACCCGAGCTCCTCTAGCAGAAGCAAGTACTGGGTCAATGCACCTGGCGGGGTGGCAGTTAGGAAAAGAGATCTCATGACCTCTCTCCCCCTGTAGAATCACCAAGTACCTCACCATCCTCCCCAGTGGGAAGTACAGAGTGGGGAAAGAGAGACATTCTCCAAGAGACACCAGGTGGCTGCCTTGGCCTTGAGTTTGGAGAGTGGGGCTACTGAGAGACCCTCCCTGCCTAGTTTGGGTTCTTATGTCTGGATGAAACCTTTTCTCCCATCTCTGTTCCCCTTCATGCCTTTGCTCTCTGTGCACCCAGAGACGGGCCCCAGGGGCCTGGCTTCCAAGTGGCCAGCTGCAAGGCTCCCACTCATCAGTCAGGTGTATTCGGGGTCCCCCCCCACCACTGCATCCCCTCACTCCTCCCCCCAAGCCCCTTTCCTTCACTTTGCTTGCTTCACCCGAACCCCTCCTCTGGGCTGACCACCCTCGGACACTGCTTCCCTGCAGGCAGATGACGGCAGCCTGAGCGAACAGAGTGTGGCCCAGGTAAGGCCCCCTGCATCTGCCTTGGCCGGAAGTGGGCTAGAGGGAGGAGAGCAGAGCCTCCCAGAGGGACCAAGGGGAGCCATCGAGGCTGAGAAGTCAGGGGTGCAGGAGGGAAGGGATGGGACAGTGACAGGCCGTCTCCTGGAGAGTCAAGGCACAAACTGGGTATTCGTAAGTGCTGGGTGCCTCACCAGCATCCCGCCTCATCTCCTGGCTTGGCGTAGTTGGGTTGAAACCCTGGGGTGAGCTGCCACCCTGATGACTGGTGTGCCTTGTCCCCCAAAACATTCTGGGGACCGAGGCACCTGATGCTTCCCCAAACCCAGAAAGGATACCAAATAGTTTTTCTCTAACCTCTCACCCCATGCTGCTTAGGGTTCCTGCTAGAGTTGTTAAGGGACCCCCTAACCGTCTCCACTCACCACTTGCACCTTGCCCCTGAATGACCTGGCTGTGGGGACGCCCACCCCTGCCAGTCTCCTGCATGGTCCAGTCTGGGAGGCATGTGTGGCAGGGGTGAAGCTGGGGGCAGGGCAGGTTCCTGGAACTGTGGCTGACTGGTTCCCCAGCTGTGCAAACTTCCTGCTTGTCAGGCCCACTGCTTGACCTCCATTCTGTCTGCCCACAGGTCTCTTTGCCCAGACTAATCCTGCTTTTATGGACCTTCCCACCTCAGTGCACTAACTTCCTCCTGCTGTGACAGCTAAGACAGGGGACGGGACCCAAGCCATCCCGCGTGGAGCCCCAGGTGTGGTGCCCACTTTCTTTCCTGCCCTTGCTGCTCACCCCGCTTCTCCCTCCTCCCAGTTCCCCCCCACCCCGTGCCTCCTCAGACCTTCCTGGGATGAAGGCAGCCATGTGGCAGTTTTCAGGTCAGAGAGAGGCTGGAGAACAATAAGCAGAACAGTTAGGAACACAGGTGCTGGTGTGATTGTCCCAGGATATCTGTTCCACCCTTCCACCCTACCGCCTGCAAGCTGTGTGACCTACAGCAAGTTACTCAACCTCTCTGGGCCTCTCATGAAGGGCAGGACACTCTTCACAGCATTACTAGGAGAATTAGGAGAGCTAATGCGGGAAAGCTTTAGGCCACCTCCTCTTTTTTCCAAAGGGGGAATGAATTCTTGAGGAAGAACCAAGGAAGTTGTAGGTAGTGAACGGGAGATGAAAGGAAGGGAAAGTTAGGTTTCTGGCTGGGAAAAGCTGGGGAAACCCAGGGCCAGGCAGCCCTTGAGAGAGGAGGGAGACTGTGCAGGAGTGAGAGACATAGCAGCGTGGGCTGGGACTTCTTCCGAGGGGAATGAGGCCTGATAGCCAGAGAGGTGATCTGAGGGACGGACCTGGGGTCCCCACCATGTGGGCATTCTGTGTGCACAGTTGTATGCATTTGTTTAAGTCCTCAGCAGAACTGGAGAATGAACGCATCTGAAAGCAGGTGTCCCGTGGCAGCACTGGGCCAGCCCCCCTTGGCCAGCTGCGCCACATCAGCATCGGGCTGGGGTGGGGTGTTGGGGACACGCTGCCAGCCCCGGCCACAGCTAGGGGTTGCTGAGGAGTCTGGGCAAAGGCAGTGACCTGCCTGGGCCTCGTCTCTGCCTAGACGTGGCACTGTGGGCGGACGCTCCAGTGGCAGGGCCTAGCAGAGACCAGGCTTACGGCCACACCCCTGGCTGCCGCCTGGGGAACTGTGGCCGGTGGGGCAGGCTCGGGCCTGAGCTGGGAGCTGGCTGCAGCCAGTTTGGACTGCTGTTTTGTGGGCCTGGCGCCACTCATGCCAAGCGCAGATGAGCTACTGCCACCTAGTGACGGAACGTTGCAGGGACACTTAGAGAAGGGCTTATAGACCTCCCCATCACTACCGTGTTAGGGCACTTGATATCCACCCCCCGCCCCCACCCCCCAGTTTCTTTCACTCAACCTTATTCCCTATCCCCCAGGTTCTTCAGTCTGCCAAGGAACAAATTAAATGGTCGTTACTGAAATGAAGGCTGTGCATTCAGGTCTCCCTGCCCCCAGAGCATTTCCACAATCCTGGCAAAAGCTCAAAGGCCCCAGGGAACAGGAGAGATCCTTCTGTATCCCTAAGCCCTCCCAGAACTGACTCCTGAGGTCTCTGGCCAGGGACTCTGAGATGCAAAGATTGGGCTTCAGCACTGACTCACCCCTTCTCACTGCCCTGGCCTGCCCCTTTGGCCATGAGAAACAGCTGAGCTGCCTTAACTCAGACCTTTGGCATCCCTGGCCCCAGAACCCTAATAAACCTGCTTTGTCTCCTGCCAATGGTCTCCTTCTCTGCTGGCCTGGGAAGTGTTGTGTAAGTTCTGATGAGGGCTCCCGCAGTGTCCGCGGCTCATCTTCAGGAGGCCCAGGATCAAGGTGTCCAGGGCTAGCCCTGTGGTTGCGTGATGGGGGAGGGGATCAAGAGAAGGGGACGATTTATCATCGTGAGGGGGTGTGACACTGATACCACGGGGCCCCCAAGTGATGGGAAAGGCTAGGTATGATTGTGGGACAAGGTAAAAAAGTAATAATGGCTGAAATGGCGCACATTCGGGGAGAAGGAGACAAAAGAGGGTACCCCTAAGCGGCACAAACCTCCAGGGAAAAGAGAGGAAAAGATGGTACACACATGGTGACCCTACTGGGAATTCTTTGAATCACTTTTTCCATTCCCAGCTTCCAAAAGGGAAGGGCGGAAGGCTTCCTCTGACAAACTGAGGAACAGCACGCCCGTTTTTCTTGGCATGGCCGGCGCCGCGGAATTCCTCTGCTAGCAGACGTCCTGGGCACCAGAGCCCTGCGAGCTTGCCATGGTTGGGCCTGATGCTGGCGGCGAGGAAGCATGGGCCAGCCCCACCGTGCATGTGTGTCCAGAGCACCCAGTGCGTTCCAGAGGGTGGAAGAGTGGAGGTCTGCAGGGAGGGGAGAGAAGGGCAGGGGATGCCAGGGGCAAACGGGAAGGATGGAGCGACTTCCTCGGCGACGTAACTCCCATTCTTTCTCCCTGTCCCAGAACCTCCCGTTTCTCCCTTTATTTCCCCGACGCGTTCCCGCGACCCTGTACAGCAATCCCCTAGACTGTGTAACGGTCGGTTCCGGAACAGCTCGTTTCCCTCGATACCTTTCCACGCTCCGCCCCGGCCCTGCCCCGCTCCCGCCCCTCTCTGGCACAATTTTCCGCGGGGAGTCCCGCCCCAGGACCGCATTCGCGATCCTACAGCGCCACCTGGAGGGAAAGGAGGGAAACGCGCCCCCTCCGGGTCCTGCTCCCCTGACTAACTCCGCCTCCAAGGGCGGAACCAAACCCTGTTCCCAAGATCCTCCCAGGCCCCCGACGCTAATAACAGGGCGTTGCCCTAGCAACCAGCACGCTTGACCCGCCCTGAGAGTTCCGCGCCAGCGTGGGCTGAGTTTCTGCCAGCTGCTACAGTAAGAGTGCAGCGAGCCTTGGATTTTAATGGACGCTGTCCCTGCGGGTTACACGTCCTACATTATAAACTCTATAAAATTGGTTATTTATAATGGGTATGACTACTTCTGTAATTAGAGAAAATGATATAGAGTTATGTAAACAAATACATTGTAAGCGCTGCGTACATAACCCGTTCCAGGAAATAATGCAACAAGGCAACTCCGACAGGGAAAAAAAGAATATGCAATTAACTGCTATAGAGTTCGGGGCCAGTGTAGCGACGGGAAACGAGAAGTTCTCCAGGAATACTTGGGCAAATACGCGGTTTCATCCAGTGCCCGGCACCATCCACTGCTTCTAAACGGACCGCAAGGTCGGAAGGGGCAAGTTCGCTTCCTAGCAACCCGGTCGCGCCTGCGGAGGCCCTGCAATTCCAGTTATGCAGGGACTGGAATGGGAAGGCCCGGCGCTGCACGCAAACTGGTTCCCTGAATTCCTGTGGACCAAGCGATGCTATCCCCATTTTACCGAGGTTGCGCACCGAGGCTGTGAAAGTTAAACTGTGTGCAGCAGTTTCTGCAAAGCGCCCTGGGGAAGGAGAACTGCTGGCGAGAGGTGGCTTTCCTGCACCCCCTGACCTAGGGCCGGACAGGGACTGTACTGGGTTAAGAGGAATGAACGGAGAGGGCATTGTAACGCCGAGAGGCGACTGGAAAGGTGTCTGCTAAAGGACTACGGGGAAGGGGATCGCAGCAAAGCAGCCGACCCACGCCCGCAGCGAGGGGAGGATAGCGCGGAGAGGGCACTGGAAGCCGAGGAATGGGGGGCTCTGGTTCTTCCCGGGGATCCCAAGTTTGCTGGCCCTACTCTCTGCCGGCCGAGGCGGAGACTCCGCTGAGCCTTCGGGCCCCTCAGCGCCCGCAGCCCCGCGCAGCCTCGGGAACCGCGGGCCTGGCGGTCTGCCTAGAGCTCTGCCCGCTGGCACCGGCTTTCCCGCAGACAGCCTCATTAGCGCGGCCCCAGGCCCGAGTTGGCGGGCGTGGAGCGGAGCACGCAGCACCCGGCAGGCGGGGGCGCGGTCTGCCCGGGACCGGGTTTCGGGAAGGGCAGTCGGGGGTTTCGGGGAGAGGCGGCGCGGGGAGCGGCCGCCGAGGCCTTGCCTTCCCGTCTGTTCTCATCCCCAGGGGCCCTCCTGCTCTTTCTACATTCTCCTCCCCCCTCGTCCTCGTGGGCGACCCAGCGCGTCTCGACTATCCATAGACACGGGGACTTCAGGACGCCTGCTTTTCTCCTACAGAATGGGCACCAGGGCAAGTCAGAAACCGAGACCCCAGGGGCTTAGGTCCAGGAGGAGGGCGCACACAGAAGCACTGGCTCCGGGACTCTGTTTGCCCCGCCTAGACCCGGCTAGGGACAGCAAGTTAGCGCCTCCAGGCCCTCGGACCCCATTTAAACCACTCAGAGCGGGTCTCTCCCTCACGAGCCCCGCGCGCCCCCTGCTTCCCGGCCATTGGCTGGCAGGAAGGCAGAGCTGGTCGGATTGGCTTGCATCCAGACAGAGATGGATGGCTCCCCACTGGCTGGAAGGTGTCTTTGCTGGGAGGCACAGGTTGGCTAAGGCGGAGCCAGCCAAGCCTCGGGATGGGGCGGGGGATGAGCCGGAGCCCTGCCTTAAGCTCAAATTTTCTGTGCCCTAAAATCTACAGAGAAAAAAAAATTTTCTTAGTAAATTCCCAGTAAATACCCTTTAACTCCAGAACCTGATGTAGGCAAAGTTGGAAAATTTACCCAAAACGGGTTTGGCACAAGCCTACAGTTTCCCTTTACCCTCTAAACTGGGTCTCTTTCATTTAACAATATTCGTGGATTATACTTATTCATTCATTCAAGTATTTGAGTGTTTGCCATGAGCCAGGAACTAGGGAAAGAAAGGAGACTTTGTTGCAAGTAATTGACTTGGCAGTGGGGTAGAAGTGGAGGGCTGAAAGGAGAAAATCGTTTGGGGAGATATTTCAAGGTAGAAGTACGTTGTAAAAGCAAATTATGTTTTGTTTTGTTTTTTTTAAATGTGGGCTCCATGCCCAGTGTGGAGCTCAACATGGGGCTTGAACTCACAACCCTGAGATCAAGACCTGAGCTGAAATCAGAAGTCAAGGGCTTAACCACCTGAGTCACCCAGGCGCCCCTAAAACCCAACACTGTTCTGTATCTTTATCTGAACAGTGGCAAAAATTCAAAGATTACACTTAAGATGTGTGATCTTTCCCGTAGGTAATTCATACTTCACTAAAAAAGAAAAAGGGCGCCTGGGTGGCTCAGTGGGTTAAACTTCTGCCTTTGGCTCAGGTCTTGATGTCAGGGTCCTGGGATCAAGTCCCATATTGGGCAGGCTCTTTGCTTAGCAGGGAGCCTGCTTCCTCCTCTCTCTCTCCCTTCTGCCTGCCTCTCTGCCTACTTGTGATCTCTCTCTGTCAAATAAATAAATAAAATCTTTAAAAAAAAAAAAAGAAATGAATTGAATGGCTGCCAAATTTTACTCTATCGTTGACATTTGTATGGTCCTTACCTGTTTCCTAATCTCTTCTTCATCTCTGCCAACTAAAACTGGAAAACATCTTCGATGAGGATCCAAAGAAATGAGAGCCATTGTGAAGCCCACGCAGATTTTACCTGGCCCAGGTAGATGAGTGCCATCCCCCAGAGTGGATCTTTTGGTAAGGAAAGCAGTATTGATAAATAATAATAATAATAACAATAATAGTAGTAGTGCTAGTAAAATTCACTTGTTGGGAGTGAATTCCTCTATTTATTTACTTTTTAAGATTTTTATTTATTAGACAGAGAGAGACAGCACAAGCAGGGGGAGCAGCAGAGAGAGAGTGGGAGAAGCAGGCTCCTTGCTGAGGGAGCCCGATGCGGAGCTCTATCCCAGGACCCTGGAATCATGACCTGAGCCAAAGGCAGACGCTTCATTGACTGAGGTACCCAGGCGCCCTGGAGTGAATTCTTTTAACAGACATTTATTAACCATCTGTTCTGAGCCAATCACCTTGCTGAGGGTGGTGGGAGCATTTAAGATAAATTGGAAGACACAGCTCCTGATTTGACTGGGAACAAAGTCGCATATGCAGAAATTATAAATATCCGACAGAGGAGATTGTGTGTCACATAGTATAGGAAAGAAAGAAGGGAGCAATTGTATCAGCACAGCAAAAGGCAGAGAATCTCTGTTCAAGGAACCGCAGGTGGGCAAATGTAGCTGGAATGGATGCTGTGTGTCTCTGTGGGGGAGGCTGCAGTGTGTTGAGACAGGAGGCTTCTCCCGAGACAGGTTGGGGATGAATGTTGAGTGCCTTGCTGGGGACTAACAGCCATGAACAGAGTGTACTACTCTGTACACCTTAGAATCATAACTGTCCTCCAAACAACCTAACGAGGTAGATGTTGTGAGCCTTGTGTGTACAACTCACGGGACCTGTGGGTTTGGATCATTTGTCTCGTGGCACAGAGGTGAGGTTTAAGTGCGTGCTGATCTGATTCCATGGCCCGTTGCTATCTGCCCCAACCACAGAGCTAAGGAGCTTGGCTTATATTCTGGAGGCTTTAGGGAGCCACTGAAGACTTTTGAGCAGTTAAGGGATACCAACTCTGTATTTTGAGCAAGGAACTCTGTCAGCAATGTAGAATGTGGATGGAAGAGGGGAAGAAGAACGTGGGGTCAGAGTATGACCCACAGAAGGCAATCCCTTTCATTACAGTCCTTACCCTCTCTCTAAGATGGTGCCATCCAACCTGATTGAGGATTGTGTCACCAAATAACCTGCAAAACTCGAGTTCCATTTAGCACTTGAGTTCGTGCTTTTGAATC